TATTATATATATATATATATATGGTAGACCGCATTGATGTTCTTTCTCCTACGGTAGGCTCCCACAGAAGTCGGAGGAGGAGCGGAAGACGTTCCTGCAGCAGTGGATTTCGAGCCACTTCAACGACTCCGTGAATGTCATCGGCAAGCCAATGGTGTTCGAGGAGTTCGGGAAATCGACGACGACTCCGGGATACTCGCAGAAGGTCCGCGACGACTTCTTGTCCTACGTCTACGGCATGATCTACAGCGACGCCGAGACCAGCGGCGGGTCCTTCAGCGGCGGGCTACTATGGCAGATCATGGGCGAGGGGATGAAGTCATACTACGACGGGTTCGCCATCGTGCTGCCTCGGGATTCAACGATGACGGCGGTGATAAAGAAACAGTCGGACGCCATGGCGGCGCTCAAGAACAGGCTGAGCGGCTCTCGTCATTAGAGGCCTCTCTCGATACCTCGTTGCTTTTGCCATCCGATTCGAAATTATTATGATAACAAAAAAATAAAGTTATTATGATGACAACAAAACGCATGTCCTGATATCATCATGACAACAAATTTATAGTCATCAAATTTCTCGTTTTTTGATATTGTTTGAGGATGTTAACTTATTATTATCGTGTTCTTTTATAATAATAATAATAATAAATAAATCATATAAGAAACTTAAAATTAGCGAAAATAAAAAAGAAAAGAAACTTTAAATTAATGAAAATAAAAACGTGAACGGCAGGATTCGAACCTGCGCGGTCAGAGACCATATGATTTCTAGTCATACCCGATAACCACTCCGGCACGTCCACAGCGACGTGTCATCTTTCATTATCAATTATTAATAATAAAATTAATTAAATAAATAATTAAACATAGAATAAAAAAATTAAGAAAACGGAAATACAATAATTATTAGTTCTATTGTCCAATTTATAAGGTCTATCATAATTTTTTAAAAATAATCTTTATTGGCATTAAGGTCGTGAGGAAATCCTTTAGCCTAGTAAGAAATTGGAGATCTCACTCTAATTGCATACTCGTTAGTAAAAATAACTTAGGGTAATCATACATGATTCATGTTTGTCGAACTATCTTTGTTACGTAGTGGTGTCAGATTAGACGAGAATATATCAAACTAATATCCAACATAGTTAAAGAGTTCAAAAAGGCACAACAAGTTTTTTTATAGTCAAATAAAACCATGTGAAAGATCACCCGAGCAATGAAACGAGCATTTGATTTGACAAATTACATCAGCATTGCGGAAGCAACACTAATACACAGAAGATAAAGGTTGGAAGTAATCAGGCCAATCACTCATAAAATTGCCCCTAATGCTAGCTAAAGAACAGCACACAGGAGGGAAAAGCACGTTTAGATCAAACCTCTTAATTTCCATCTATTGCCCTGTGAAAGGCCTGTATCAATCATAAAGATACTTCACAATGCAGATAACACTCATTAAACAGGAGAACACTACCATAATAAGTGAAAAGAAGAAATCTACAACTTCACAGGTAAATGGTCAGCTACCAATGTGCAATATGTGTAATTAGTACTCTATCATTTCGGCATTCCGTATCTCATCTCATCTCAACGACGACACAGGCCTTCGAGACACATCACCGCCTTCTAGAAAAGCTTTCACGACAGACACATTTCTTCTGGCCGGCGATGCTGCATCAACAGTAAGCTGAGGCGCCATCTGCAGAACTTAACATGTATCAACGAAACTGGAGATTCGTTCACCGAAACGTTTGCTGACAGGAAACTTAAATCTAAGCTATGTTGGTTGAAATATTCTATCAAGTAAAGCATCTAAGGTAAAGAACATATGAGAAAGATTGCTTCGGAAAGTACTTTGCTCCAGCAGACAGAAGGAAAAATGATTTCGAAATGTATCAAACAACAAGAGATTTTGTAGCATAATTAAACATACTTGACCATTGTGATGAAGTCTTTTATGCATTTGATATAGTTAAACAGAAATTGATATGGTGGGAGATGGCATATATTGTGTGCATCAGTTATTGGTTGATTCACAATCAACAACTTTCTTTGTCACCATAGATATCATTTTCTACCTTATCTTACACTTGAAGAATTGTTAAGAGTTCATTAGTTCCTTGGTGCACACTATCATTTTGTCTAATTTGAAAACTCATTTTCATCTGAAGAAAACTCAACCATAGTTCAGTATTTTCCTACAACATGGTTGGTGTATCTCTAAGCAATACCCTTCTTGAATCAGATTTTTTAAACAATAAAATGATTTTTTATTCTTGCTGCATTGCAGGGATAATGCAAATTGTTCTTTGTATACGTGAAGGACCAATTTGTCCCAAATGACCAACAGATTTCTCTTCCGAATCAATTCGGAGTTTCTACATGCATGTTTTTCTCAAAAGCATAAGAGGTTAGCACTAAGATCAGTTACTAGAGGATTAAATCGATTAAATTACTTTGTCATATATGGTAATGCAATAGCAAATTGAATTTAAGAAATATTCAATATTTAAAATCAAAAAATAAAACGATCCACATCCTAAAAGAGCTTAATGTTCTAACTGGAATATAGCAGTAAACAAAGAATAAAAAAATTGACTTCAAAGAACTAAATGAACACACATCCTGGAAGCAGCAGTGTGCTACTGGAATACCAAGAAGCTATACTCAATGGTCAATTTACTTAGAGATCATTAAGAAAAATTCGTAACACATGTAATGTGAATCAAGTATGAAAGGAATAGTGTTCGATGAATGAAAGTGTGATTCTATTGATGGAAGATTGAATCAAGCCTTTACTTAATTGAGCAACGGAGGTAAAAAGCATACATTTCAAATGAAATTGATTCTATTGACACAATAACAAATTTTGAGGGTCTTAATTGCGTTTAGATTCTTCATCCAACTTTTCTTCCTTCTGTGGCCTTATACTAACTATATTGTGATTTTTTATTTAGCATATTTCCTTGTAATGACATTCTACATAAAGACAATAAGACTGTATTTGGGTAATGGTTGGAGAAAAGAATTTGAATGAATGTACACTTATGAAATTTTGATAAACAAAATCTGCATTTTAAATATGTATTGACGTAAATATTTTTTTTTTATAAAATCGTATTTTAAAAGTTTAATTAAATTATCTTTTTAATATTTTTAATATTTATTCAAAAGTGAATAGATTTTTTTATTTGAATTATAAGTAAATAGTAAATCCATATCCCTAAGATATATGAATCTACCAAGCACAAAATTTCCCCTGCTATTTGCTCGAAAGCAGAGATGAGCTCACCTTGTCACCCGTCAAAGCCCTATGCGAAACGCTTGGGTTCTCCTGTTTGATACTGTTGAGCATTCTTCGCAGCACGGCGAACCCCACGAAGGCGGCGAGGACGGAGACTGACCAAATCGGCTTCACCTTAAACAGGTTAAGTTTCAGGTTTCGGAATGGCATCGACCACCACATCACTCCTCTCCTCTCTTCTCCACAACAACCACTAATACCAGAAGCATCGGTCTCCCCATACTCCTCTTTCAACTCCTCAATCTCATCTGATGTCAACTCCCAGGCTTCCTCATGCTCTATCTCGTTAGCCCCACGAATGCCGTCGATCCCGTTAGAGCACGACTCTTTCAGGATCAGGTCATCACTAGAACTCGATTGCGTCATCGAGTCCCCTCCATCGCTTGAATCGATCATCTGCCTCTCGTTGGAATCTTCGAGATCGGAGACCACCGTTTCGTCTCCCCGTTCAGCAGCACGCTGCGTCATCAAATCCCCTCCATGCCTCAAATCGATCGTCTTTGTCTCGTCATCGGAGTTGGAACCCTCGTGATCGTAGCCAGCCATTGCCTCTCCGTGGCTCCAATCGATCATCTTCGTCTCGTACTCGGCGTTGGAATCCTCGCGATAGGAAACCACCAATTCCTCTCGTCCGTCAGCAGCACGCTCGGAATCTGAATCAGGGAAGCCCCATCTGAGGTAATCCGAATCGAGTCCCCCATCTCCGCTCTCCTCCTCCTCCTGCTCCTCCGACGAGGATGGGGTGGGCGTCCTCGCGTCGGAATCAAAGTTCTCGGACCTGACGTCATCCGCGGTTCCATGTATAACTACGAAGCCGTCACTCGCGGCGGAGGAGGAGGAGGACAGCACTTCCCAGTCTTCGAACTCATGTACTGCCTCCATATCAGAACTAACGATGGAGGAGCGTCAATGGCGGCCTGTGTACCTCACGGGGCACGCTTGATTCGACGTGGAAGTGTTTGCAGAGAGAACACTGCAGGGCGTTGGACTCCAACGACGAGGAAAGGATCGAGCGGAAAGAGAAGAACGAAAAAAGATGACAGATTTCTCTCTCTCTCTCTCTCTCTATATATATATATATATATATATATATCTGCTTGTCGGTAAGTCTGAGAAGATTAATTTGTTTGTTATTAGTTGCATGATTAAAGCAATTTAATTTGGATAACTTGAGATAAAAATAACTAAATAAGTAGTTTAAATTGTGGACAGAATTAGAATAAGTTAAATTAATTTTAATTATGTTAGATTTATTTATTAAAGAAATATATATTTACTGATTTTATAGTAAATCATAAAATTATGGGATGGTTGGAGTGTTGAGATGGAAACTTCAAATTTCTAGAGGTAGGAAAATTTGAAGAGAGGAAAACAACAGATTAAGTAGTTTGGGTCGATTTGGATCTTCATAAAATTAGTTAGGATTGAAATATTCAAGAAAGTTATAATTTTCTTTGATTTTTACATCTTCAAAGTCAATGACGGTAATGTACTATATTTACAGACTTTTATTTTTATATTTGATTTTTTTTATCGCCTATAAACTCAATAATAACATACAAAGAATCTTTTTTTTATCTTAGGTTAATAAATTTGCTATTTTTATTCATATTTAAGACAAGTTAATAGAGGAAAACCCTTATTTATGTAGAAAATGTTCACTAGTCAAAGTTTTTGAGTTGAACATATCACACACAAAAGAAAATATTCGTATATTTTTTATCCTACGTAAACACATCATACGTAAAATGATGTATTGATCGCGTCTAATATTTTAGATGTGTAGTATCTCAAGTGAATAAATCTGACGTAAAAAGGATGTGTTGGTTATTTTAGGTGAATAAATCTAATGTAAAAAAGGATGTTATGTTTTATATATATTTTTATTATGGTTACATTAGATACAGCTAAAAGAACACATTGGTTACATTAAATATTTTATATATTTTTTTATTATGGACAAATATATCACACACAAAGGGGACGTATTGGCTGTGTCGAGCTTTTCAAATGCTTGGGTAGATTTATAATGCTCATGAAAAACTCATTAGTCGCGTTGGATGATATGAGATCAAATAAGTATATTATATATTTATGTTATCAGCTTTAATATATTTTCATTCGCCTTATGTTAATGATACTTATAGAATTCTGATATGGGCTGTGAGAGGTCGGTCGGTTCTGAGAATGATGTTTGTGTTGTCAAGAGAAGTAATAACGAGTCACTCTTCGTTTGGTGGTTGAGCTTTGTTGTATTAAAGAGAATATTACGTCTCGGTAATTGGTAGATAAAAAATGCATTATTTCATTCTTTCTGCCATATCGATCTGAACAAGTCATGTATAACTTAACCAAGTCATCTTAAAAATGTCTTAATTGTACGGCCACCATTCTTCTAATGAATCTTATCTTCGGTGTGCTTCTCAAGTAGTCATGGAGAACTCGGTCTGACTATGCTACTATGCAAAGTGTTGCAGGTCCATCGTCACGAAATAAGATATTTTTTTAAAATTTTTTTAAGATAATTGATATGAATAAGACAGTTTATATTAAATCTTGGAGAGATTTAATATATAGTTTTGCTCAGTAAATTATATACCTATTACTAGAGGTAAAAAATTCAGCCAAAATCAATACTCGAAAAATGACCTAGAAAAAAAATGAAATAAAGAATAATCCTTATGAGTGCGCAATTGAAAGTCTATTATATGCTCAAACCTATACAAGATCAGATATCAATTTTATAGTTGTAATACTGAAAAGATACCAAAGTAACCCAGGAATGAAATATTGGAAAACTGCAAAGAAAGTAATGAAATATCTACAAGGGATGAAAGATTATATGCTCACATACAAGAGATCAAATCAACTTGAAGTAACAAGATATTCAGTAACAATGGAAGCTGAATTTGTGGCATGCTTTGAGACCACAAATCAAGCTTTATAGCTGCGAAATTTCATCTCAAGACTTAGTGTGGTCGATTCAATTGCCAAGCCGCTAAAGATATTTTGTGATAATATCATAATAGTTTTCTTCTCTAAGAATGGTAAGTACTCTAGTGGTTCCAAGCACATCGAGACAAAGTACTTGGTGGTTAAAAAAAGAGTCTAGAAACAACAAGTATAAGAATCTAAGCATCACTATGATGATTACTCATCCATTGACAAAAGCTTTATAGTGTAAAATATTTAAAGAACATGTCCTGAGAATGAGACTTGTGAGCATGTCATAAAAAATATGGTGATGCATATTTATGTGGATACTATTATTGATATTCTTTTGTTTAATTAAAGTTATTTGTTTCTACTATCTTGTTTACATTTATGTTTATACATATTATAGTTGAATGTAATAACAGGATTGTCTTAACAAGATAAATTACAAGGATCATTATGGACTATATTAGGAAAGAGTAATAATATTGTGGTACATAGAAGGGAGTATGACATTAATGATATACAACCGCTATGACTCGCATTGATAGATGGACTTAATATAGTATTATTGTTCTTATTGGACTTATTGGCTTATTTTAAAAATTTATGGTCATGTATAAAATATTTTCAAAAATTCTTTAGAATACAATTAAGTAAAATTATTTTCAAATAATTTTTATTTTATTTATTTTGATTTTGAATATCTCTTTTATACCTTATCAATTAATGCGCCAAATAGGAGAATGTTAGATTTTGTGGCCCTTTATAATTGGATAAGATATATGTAATATAACTAATTGGATTCTGATGAAATATATTGGCCAATAGAAAAGAAGTCTACTTAAAATAGAATTCCTTAGGAGATAAATTTGATGGGAGAAAATCTCCTAATTACTTATTCTGGACCCTTTGCTCTCGCCTATAAATAGACAGAACCTATAGGGATTGAAAAGTAGATATACATCTCTCACAAAAGTTATAGTTGAGGGATTACATTATCTCTCTAACTCTTCTCCCTAAACCATCAATCTAGCTCTGTGAAAGGATAGAAAGAATCTAGTTCCTCTTTGTAGATTGACAACGATCTAGGATCTAAAGACGGTGTCTTTGTAGATCAAACAAAGATCTATTTGGGATTGCATCAAAAAGTACGCATCGTTAAACCAAATCTAAGTATTTGATTTTAATTATGATATAAAATATTATTTTAGCATTTAATATAACATATTATAGTTTTTATGCTTACAAAGGGTCCCACAAGGACACATGGTGTTCCCACTCCTCTAGCTCACTCACCTCAAGGTTTCAAGCTAATGGGCTCAGCAGCAGTGCCTCTGCCAACTCCACCGACCTCTTGGGTGAGTCCAACCCCAGCTCGTCATTGCCCAACCACTCTGGCACCAACGTTGATACCACGATAATCCTGCACCGGAGCCTTGCGACCGCCTCCGGTGCCGCCACACATATGTCCTCGGGGTCTGAGCTCCGAGGCTACGGAAGCTACTCAACTGACTCCGGGAAGTTGAGCTGCGCGTTGCGGCCTTAAGCCGCAGTGCCGCCACATCGTGTGTCACCGTCGTCATCTCCGCTGACTCGAAGCTCCCTAGCCAAATCCTGCTCTTCTTCCCGGGCTCCCTAATCCCCGACACCCACTTCCCCCACTCCCTCTTCCTCACCCCTCGGTAATGCACCGCCGCCTCTACTCCTAGCTCCGCCATTGCTATCTATCGACGCATCGTCCGAATCTTCGACACATCACCCTCTTTTAGGCTTATTGCCCAATCGGCCAATTGATATCTGCAATTTTGATTTCCTTGACGTAATTTTCGCTCTTCTTGGCCCAATGCCCGAACCTATGACCCGAAGCCTTTTGTCGATACGTCGACTAATCCTTCAGCTCAACGTCCAATCTTCTAACATTTTTACTCCGGCCCAATATGATTCTTCATGCTTCAATTGTCTCTCCCTGATCAAAGCTACCTGCATCACTTAAAACGCAGATCAAATCATAAACATTATCATCTGGTTTTATTATTAAAATATAAGATTTTACAGTACATAAGATAATTTTTTTTTTTTCAGGCAAAACTTCTTGCATTCAAGAAGTTTGATAGCAATAAAGATGCGAATAGTAGTAGTAACAGTAAACTAGTAACTAGTTTAATGCATGAAATACAACTATCAAAAAAGGTGGGTGAAGTCAAGTAATCTTTGCCTTCTTAACTTCTAAGAGAATATACAAAATCAAATATCTTAGTTTTCTTATTGTGCTTTGCATATATTCAAAGTGATAGAAGATAAGATTTTCCTAACTATACGAGGAAATTTCTCTATTCTGTTGAGGAAAATCCTCTATTCTGTTAGGGAAATCCTTCCTCCTAATTTGTATAAATAGGAGAGAAAACATGAAGCATCTTCAACTATTCAATAAAGCTTCATTCAATATTTGTTCTTATCTTCTATTATTTCTATCATGGTATCAGAGCCGCTTGCCTAGAGCAAGCTCTCTTCTCGTTGCCAATTCATCATTGGTGCGACAAATCTTTCCTCCTAGTGTCTTCTCCATTGCCACTCTGCGCCAACGTCCGTTCCCTTCCGCTACGGCATCTCTAGTGCTGCTCATCAGCACTGCCTCACCTTTCTTCCTCGTTGTAGCTATTTTCCTTCCTCTTCTGCTACAGCTTCCTCTGTTGCAGTTTCCTCCTTTGCTGTAGTAGCATCACTGCAACATTGCTGTAGATTTCTTCTCTACCGTCGCAGCCGTCGTAATCGCAACCACGACCAACGTCATTGAGAAAAGCGAAGCTTCGCTCTTGCCTTCGGCCAGCGACCAACGTCGCTGAGAAAGGTGAAGCTTCACCCTTCGGCCAGCGACCAACGCCGTTGCATTCCTAAGAGGCTCCGTGGTCAATCCTCATCTTCCTCACCGCGGTAGTCTTCGCTGATCTGCCAACATTCGACAGACTTAAGGAGAATGAAGGGAACGCCTGTGCCATCACATCAATAGCAATCGCAGCAGCAGCAGCGATCTACACTTATCTTACTCATGAAGTCTCTCGCTTGTAAACAATTCTTTGCATTGATCTAAGATTGGTATC